GGCCACATGCTGACCCTTGCAGGGGCTCTGGATCCTGACCGCCTCTGACACAGCCCCTGGACCCCTTGTTCCTACAGCTAAGCTGGGCCCTCCCCGTGTGTCCCCTCCCCTTTCTCCCCCAGCACCTCAATCCGGGGAGAGGAGCTACTTCTGAGTTCCCAGCCGAGCTCCTCAAGCCCCTGACCAGTTTCGCGTCTGCCCCTGACAGATGATTCCTCTCAGCAACCAGATTAGGGGCTGGGAGTGAAAGAGCAGTAAACACACACCTGTGATAAAAGCATCCCACTGGCCCTTCATCCCCCTGATGTGATTGGGGGCTGCGGGATCTCGAGGGAGAACATCTCCAGGCAGCAATGATGACACCACCCCCACCTGAAGGGGTGAGCGCTTTCCACCAGGCAGCCTGCTAAGACCTCAAGCTGGAATGACCCATTCAGTCCTTGTGAGGGTCACATGAGATACTTGCCATTACTCGTCCTGTTCTGCAGATGAGGAACCTAAAGAAGAGAAAGGTTCAGTAATTTCTCCCAAGGCCAACAGCTACTAATTATTGCCAGCACATCCCACATCCTTGATCAGAGGAACACTCTGAATCTCAAAGCCATTGTGCCCTTAAAGATTTTCACAGCGATGGCTCTTCTATGATTTAGAATCTGATGGGGAGGATGGATGATGGAGCAAGGCTGGAGGCTGAGAGGAGAGGACCAAACTCAATAAGAAGACAGGGAGGGCTTCCTGTAGGAGGTGACTTCTGTGCTGCCATCAGAGGAAGAGTAGAAGTTGGTGGGGTGAACGGGAAGAGAATGTTCTGGGCAGGAGAAAGAGCGAGGGAGACATTTTTGGGAAACTGAAAGAAGCTGAGCGGATCTGGAGCAGGAAGTGTAGGGGTTGCAGAGGGGATGGGGACCTGATGGTGCCGCTGGACTCCTCGGGGCCTGGCAGCTCAGTACCGATTCTGGAAGGTTCCATAGAGTCCTAGGAAACTTTAAAGAAGTTTAAAGAGAGAGTGGATGTAATGTGACTTGCAGTGTAGATAAATGAACTGTCTGCTGTGTAGAGAAGTGATTTAAGGCCCAGGACAGGGATGCAGCTGAGCATTAAAGGGGCTGTTTCAGGAAATGGAGCCAAAGCAGGTCCAGGCTGGAGAGGGAGAGCAGTGGTGATGGGAAGGCTGTGAGGAGAACCGATGTTTCTGCGGGCGGATGTGGGGAGAAGGCAGAATAACTCGCATTTGTGTTTGGCTCCTGGGTGATGACAAAGCATCCCCTGGGGACGGACCCCCAGCAGGAGGAGCATGCTGGGAGGAAACACCTTCAGGCTGGGATCCCAGGTGAGGATCCCTAGAGGCAGCTAAGGGATTTGCTGAGAGAACTTCAGGAGAGAATCAGAGTCGGAGGCAAGCTTCAGGATAAGCAGGTGAGCACTGAGGGGAGGAGGTCCCCTAAAATGAGTCCATGGAGTGTAAAGAAGAGGACACCCCAAAGGGCAGGGGACCAAGGGGAGGGACCAGAGTTGGCAGAGGGAGGGGCTTGGGAGGAAAGCTGTCACTCCAGGACCAGAGGGGAGTGACCAAGGGGACAGGACAGGAGTAGGGGTGAAGTCTGGATGAACTGGTCCATGCGATGCTGTGATCTAAGCCCCATGGGACAGGGAAGGCAGGGTTAGCAGAGTGAGGGAGGCCCGCCCTGGGCTGGGGAGGAGAGAGGGAGAGCGGGAGGGAGTGCAGATGATCTTCTCAGAGTTCAGCCTTTCAGGGCGGTGAGAGCTTTGCTGGAGTAGGCTCATGTGCCTTAAAGATGCTGGAGCCTTGAGCATGTTTGTATGAACTTAGGTCAACTCAGGACACGGGGTGATAGGCAACCAGGGCTGCAGTGTGACACAGCTCTTAAGGGACAGTTAATAGAGGTGACTTGACCCCATCCCTAACCTGCGGCTGCATAGGGAACACCCAGCAGGCTGGCACCCAGCAACCCTGGAGAGAGCAGGGTGTCTGGGATGAGCGAGGATGGGATGTATGTAGACCAGGAGTGGGGTGAGAGTCAAGGTCAAGACTTCCTCTCTGAGGGTAGCTTAGGGTGTATGTTTCTGGGTGGAATTCTCAGTAGGATGAACATGTGTAAGAAGACAGGAAGTCAGCGAAAGGTTGCTCCTCATTCTTACGGTTCCCCAGGGACAGTAGAAACATTCTGAGTCTTTTTCTTGTGAATTAAACCCTGTCTGCTTCAATCCAGGTCCTAGCTGTTCTTTTCTCCTCTTGAGGGCCACCTGGCATAGCCCTGGAGAAGGCTCGGACCTGCCCCAGCTCGGGGCCTCATCCCTCCTGCCTGAGTCCAGGTGTGCGAGGAGCCTGAAGCTGCAGCCCAGGGCTCGTCCTCCTCTGGGCCTGGATATTGTTGGATGAAGGCTGATCCCCACCTGAAGGGGGCATCTGGGCTCTGGGTCTTTGAGCCTCAGGTTTAGTGTTACTCTTCTCCTTCCTAAGGGGCCCTACCTGATGGTCACCCTCTGTTGGCCTTGATGGGCTTCCTGATCCTGACCACCTCAGGGGGACTCCCTGTTCCCCGTGTGGTTCTTTACCTCCCTCATTAACCAGTAATGAATCCAGGGCTGAAAAGGCACGAGCACAATAAAAGACATGTACTGAGTCTCTCTCATTCAGCCAACAGGCATATAAGCCCTCTGGGAGAAGACCCTGGGCTAGCTCTGGGGAAAAGAAGGTAGATCTAGAATTTGCTTCATGGAGCCCACAGCCTGACGGGGAGGAGACAATCGAATGTGGATGTGGAACCACTCTGCCAGGTGACACACAGCTGTCCAGTAAGATCAGGAACCACACCCAGGATGGGGAAGTGAAGTATGGTCTCCTAGAAGCACTGTCTTCAAACGCTAAATCCTATACAGAGAAGAAGGGATGCCAGGATGAGATGTGCTGACAAGAAACAAGAGTGAGTGTTTTGCATTCCTAGAGCTAGAAGAGTCTACGGCCTGGATCACAGAGCTGGAAGGAAATTTGCATACCTCCTGAACTCAAGGACCAGCACAGACAAGATCATGTCTTGTCAATCATGTCAATGATTTTATTTCTTTTCCAGCTTTATTGAGATATAATTGATGTGCAATATTGTGTAAGTTTAATGTCTATAAAGTAGAGACTTCATCCACTTATACCTTATGAATAGGATCGGTTAATACCTCCATCATTCAAACAACTACCATCTTTTGTGTTTAGTGAGAACATTTAAGATCTCCTCTCTCAGCAGTTTTCAAGTATAGAGTTGAAAGCTCTATACAGTAGTCACCATGCTGTTCATTAGATCCCCAAACTTACTTCTCTTCTAACTGAAAGTTTCCACACTTTGACAGATATCACCTTGTTTCCTCCTTCCTCAGATTTGGCAACCACTTTCTACCCTTTGTTTTTGGGACTTTGGCTTTTTTCAATCCCATATATAAGTGATATCATACAATATTTGTCTCTTCCTGTCTGACTTATTTCACTTGGTGTAATGCCCTGAAGTTTCACCCGTGATGGAGCATATGGCCAGATTTCCTTCTTATGACTGAATATATTCATATATAGCTATATCTAAGTCTATGTTTATATCTATCTATTACCATTTCCTTTATCCATTCACACTTAGACACACACTTAGGTTCTTACCATATCTTAGCTATTGTGAATAATACAGAAATCAACATGGAAATGCAGATATCTTTTTGAGATAGTGATTTCATTTCCTTTGGATATATATCCAGAAATGAAAATTTTTTGTTTAGGTTTTTAAGGAATCTCCATAATGCTGTCTGTAATGACCCTTCCAGTTTACATTCCCATTTCTTGACATCCTGGCCAGCAGTCGTCACTTCTTGTCTTTTTGGTAAGATCCATTCTAACAGGCATGAGGTGATACCTCACTGTGGTTTGATTTACATTTCCCAGATGGTTACTGATGTTGAACATTTTTTCATCTATCTGTTGGCCTTTTGTATGTCTTCTTTGGAAAATGTCTGTTAGGGTCCTCTTCCCTTTTAAAAATCAGATGATTTATTTTATTGCCATTATGTTGTATGAGTCCCTTATATATTTTGGATATTAACTCCTTAACAGATAGATGGTTTGCAAATATTTTCTGCCATTCTGCAGGTTACCTTTTCATTTTTGTTGATTATTTCATTTGCTGTGCAGAAGCTTTCAAGTTTGATGTAGTCCCACTTATTTATTTTTGCTGTTGTTCCTTATGCTTTTGGTGTCATATCCAAAATATCATTGCCAAGATCAATGTGAGGGGATCCCTTCCCCTGTTTTACTCTAGAAATTTTATGTTGAAGTCTTTAATCAACTTTGAGCTAATTTTTGTGAGTAGTATAAAATAGGGGTCCAATCTTATTCTTCTGCTTGTGATTATCCAGTTTTCCCAACACTATTTAGTGAAAAGATTATCTTTTCCCCATTGAATGTTCTTGGATCCATTGGTCAAATATTAGTTGACTGTATACATCAGAGTTAATTTCTGGAATTTCCTTCTGTTCCATTTGTATGTGTATTTTTATGCCAGTACCATACTCTTTTGACTACTATAGCTTTGTAATATAGTTTGAAATCAGGAAGAGTGATGCCTCCAGCTTTGCTCTTCTTTCTGAGGATTGCTTTGGAAAATTACAAATATGTGGAAATTAACAACAC